ATATTTTAAAAAATACAAATTAAAAAAATCCTTAATTAAATTAAGTTCGAGAGACTCTGCTTTATCAGCTGGTTACAGCTACGCACTCCTTGGACACGGCAAGCAGTTTCCTGAGGTACCTATTAATAGATTCTACACTTTTTCTTTTTCGGATTTTAGTAATCTCAAAAGATCTGGAATGTTCTTCTTTAAAAAAAAGAAAGCTCTTGAATTATTTTTCTTATTAATTTTTTTATATTTGATAATTATATTAAATTTTTATTAATCTTTTATATTATATTTTATTTAAAAAAATTCTCTCAACAATTATTTTTTTATTTATAATATTTAAATTTAAAATTTTACTTAATAAAAATTAAATTTTTTTAACTATAATTTTTTCATTCAAACTAACAAAAAAAAAACTCTTGAATGTTGGGTTTAATGTTTAAACATTTAATTTAAGAGAAAAGCGGCACTTTTGCGCGGGCCATTGCTATGGAGATTATAAAAATGACAAACACAACACAACCGCACAAATTTGTGGAATATTCCTCACAAAATGTTTGATTAGGAAGTGGCAAATAAATATCAATTATTTAAATAATTTAATAATAATTTTTTAAATAAAAATAAAAAATCATGGTTAAAAAAGTTTGACAAAAAAATTTGGAGTCAAATTCAATAACGGCTTCCACACCAATCATTTTGTATTCTTTTATTTTTTATATTAATTTTTTAATATTCAAAAATTACATTAAATTTTGATTAAATTAAAATCAAGTTACATTAGATTTTATATAAAAAAAAAAGCATCTTTCAATTGTTTTTATATTCATAAAACTTAAATTTATGATCTTATTTAAGAAAAAATCAAATTCTTCCTCCTTGATCTTACAAGTTCGTTGGTTTTTTTTTTTTTATACAACCTTTTGTGCTCTAATTATTTTTCAGTTTGTTAGCTTGATTTGCTTGATCGTTCGTACAAACTTTTGATGTAAATTTGATTAGCAGGGGTCTTCAGATTTATAAGCTGTAAATTTGATAGTGTCATCTTCTTTTTCTTTAATTTAATAAAATATAAGTCATTTATATCAAAACTAAAGAATTTATAAAAAATTATTTTCACATTAACTTCTCAAAAAAAATTGAATCTTGATCAATAAAGTGAAGAGCAAATTTATTTGCCAACTAAGCCACAACTCTTTTTTCTCTTTTTGGGGCGGCCACAACTCCTTAGTCTTAGTTAATTTGTTCTCCATACAAAATCCAATAAAAAAACTTAAGTGCTTGAAGAGACATTAACAAGAAACCCTATACCCTAATGATCAAGACTAATATGACTTAAGATCAACAAAAATTCCTACAATAGAGCCAGCAGCTGTTGCAATGGTGATAATAAAGCAGGAAATGCTCAGGACTTGGAGGCAGAACCATTTTATGCTCCGCTTTAGAATTTTCTTTCGTTTGATATACATCTGCACTGGGAAGTAAATTGTGAGGGGCCAGAATCCCACAGCAAGGAAGAGTCCAACCACGTGGTTGAAGTAGGGAAGAAGAATGGAGATGGTAGTAGTGGTGATTACAAAAAGTGTCCTCCAAACCAACCTAAAGAGGTTCAGATTGTAAGGGTGAAAACCCGGGATAGGGATCTCCATTTCTTCGGTGACGAATTCCCAATCTGGGTATCTTTCCGCCGCCTGTTTCTCAATGAAGGCGAAAAGAGGTTGGCAATAGACTTGATAAGCACCAACAAGGAGGATGACAGTAGCGACATTGGCTATGTCAAGGAGCCATGATGGGTTATAGAGGCCAAAACCAGTGAGGAGGTTTCCAGGGGTTGAGTCTCCAAATGCAGCATAACCCATACAGCCACAGAGCATGTAGAACAGGGTAGCCACTGTAACACTGATTAGAGATGCTTTCTTCATTGTCTTGAATTCTGATGGTGATCTAATGGTATCCTGTTAAATTATTACATCATTTAGTTCAAACTACACAATAACAAAGTAAGAAGAGAACAAATTTTGGATAATTAAGGTAAGTTGAACATGTGTATGTATACCTGAATTTCAATAATGACGAGGGAATAAGAGTAAGCAAAAGCAATGTCTCCAAGAGCACTGAAAGTCTTCCATACCTTCTGGGTTGGAGACACAGTGACAATGCTTATTCCGGTTAGACTTCCCATGATTTTTCCATTTTCTAGGAGTAAAACAAGCAAAAAATGAATACTAACAACTTTTAAACAATCTAAAAAAGTCAGCGTTAAGGATAGGGGTTAAGACCTGCAACTTGAGCAAATCCAAGACCAAGTACAATTGTGGAGTAAGTGACGGACATGACTGCAGCAACAATGAACAGCCACCCCAGCTGATGGAAGTCAAGAATCTGAGAGAAAATGATTTCCGCAATTCCAAATGCAATCATATAAGGGTAGTTGTGCATATGGCATGGATTCTTGCTACCACTCTTGTGGAAGCAGTCAGACCTTTTGATAGCCCTGTGTAATCGCAAAGCCCAGATGATGAAATATTGAACTTTTAAACACCCCCCAAAAAAAAGAATTCTTCAAAATTCGAAATTTGAAACTCACATCATGCTAGTTGCCGATATTATAGTATACCCAATACATAATCCAAAATGGTTAAGGTACTGAACCCAACCACAAAGCCTGGCTCTGGACTCACCTGAAATTTAAGAACCCACGAAGGTGAAAAAATGAACGTTTTGAGATTTGAGCTTGTAATTAAGGAGGAATCCATTTCTTAATCCATCCAGTAAGATTAAAGTTTACCGAGAGTTGATCGAACAGCATCCATGTAAGTAGAACTTCTCTGTCCGGTGTCAGGGTCACGACAACGTTTACAGGCAACATGAAGAGTGTAGTTAGTGAGTAAAGAGAACAACAAAATGGCGGCTGGACCAAGAATCCATCCCAGCTGAGCTACTGCCCAAGCCAAAGACAGAACTCCAGACCCCATCACAGCAGTAATTATGTGGGCACTTGCTGTCCATACAGTCCCTGCATAATTATTTAGCACAGTAAGTAATCAGAAACCCAAATGCTAGAAAATTTGTTCTATGATTTGGTTTCCGAAGAAGTTTATAAATTACCAGTCCGGTGGAGGGTTTTTGAGGCAGCTTGATCATCTTCCATCTCTCGTTAATTAAGATATCAGAAACAACCAACAACAACAACAAAAAATAGACCTTCTTTAACTATGTTACTAACTATATATGGTGTGATATTTACACACTGAGATAATGGCACGCTTTCCAAGTTATACAAAACTCAAATTGAATTCGAGAGTCAGACTGTTTGTGCAGTAGATACTCTCATTGAGCAGCAAAAAGGGCAATAGAGAATAATGTATATAAGTGCCAGGGACTGAGTAGGAAAGAAGGACCATCTTCCTTTTCCCAGAACCCAGAAATCACTTTTGAATTGATAAAATAATTAAAAGAAATGAAACTGACTTTGATGGCCACAAGTAGTGGAAAAGCATTTCCAATTTATTAGATTGATTGTTTGTGTCATCGCCCAAATATACTTTTGCTAAAATATTTTGACTAATAGATTGAGAGCTTGAGAACATAATTAAGGTGTGTTTGAATTTTTTTTAAAGTGTTTAGACTAATGGTTTAAATTTAAATGATGGAAGGACTAAGGGCTAATCAATTATTATTGTATATAATATCAATATTTTGATTGTTCAATTAATCAAAACTACTAATTGCTATAATATCAAACTTTTGAACTAAACATCCTTTGGTGACACCTAACATATGCCAAGTGAGGTACAAAAAAGAACCATACTTTGCATTTAAGGCAGATTTTGATAAGAGGCCCAGAACGGAGGAATTCCCAGGTCATACGTGGTATATTGATCTAGTATATGGTTTTGTAAACTGTAAATTGAAATTTTATGGATGTCTCCAACATGAGATTTGAGGATCTTTCAATGGCAAGAATGAAATATCTACGAGAGGAGTAGGTGTGGTTTGTTGCCACCAACAAAAGGTGTCATTACCATCAATAATTTTTTTTTTTTATCAGCACCATCAATAATTATTTAAATGAAGAATTTTGGTGGCAATAACACTTCCCACTACTGCTCGACGATGGTAACAGTAATTTTGCATCGAGAAAATTTAGGAATGGTTCGTGAAGATCCCTTGAGACCTTTTTTTCTTTTTCTCTTCTGTTTTCTTTAGTGGGGGAAAAAGCATTCTTGTACGGTCCGGAAAGCACAAAGGGAGAGCTTTGTAGGTATAGATATATTATTATTAATTCTAATGAACTGAGCTACAAATTGGGAGGCAAAATACCCAAATTTACTCTCAAAATATAATGGTAGGGATGGATTCATTCCTGAACAAAAAAATGAGAATAAATTTACTTATAAAGTTTTTGATTTGAACAAATTATCTCAAATTTAACGTGTGATTTCATGTGACGTCAATAATTCGTTAATTTGACGTTCTGACGTCAACAATCTATTATTAGTAACATAACAAATTAACGGATTGTTGATGTCAGATAACATTATACGTTAAATTTGGAGTGATTTGTCTAAGTCGAAAATTTTGTGGGTGGATTTGTTCACGTTTTTTATTTGGGGGTAGATTCATCCTTGTCACTATACTTTGAGGGTGAATTTAAAAATTTTGCCAATTTGGGATGAGATACCAACAACGGCCCACCTGGTTCACAGCAACAAAAGTTAATTTTTCTTTGACTAAATGTTAATTTTGACCTTTTTAACTTCAAGGTTTTATAATCAACGGCATATATAATTCAATGATAATTTTTTTTGTTAAAAGTAAAAGATCTTAAATTCAAATCGTATGATATAAGGGTGAGGTGGGATAAAGAATGAGAAAGGGTTGCCTTCGTTGTACAACCAACATAAATAAAAAAAAAAAAAAAAAATATAACTTTTATTCCTCAAAAGTTTTTATATTTTTTTAATCACTTAATTATGAAAAATATATTTTTTTAATTTTTCATCAATTAATTTATTAAATTTATTTAAATCTGCGCATTTTTAGTCTCTCAATTTAAAGTTGAATAACAAAAAAATGTATATATATTAGAAGTTGAGTGATTAAAAATATATATAAATTCAAATATATTTAATAAATTAATTTACAAAAAAATTACAAAAATATATTTTTCATAATTAAAGGATAAAAAAATATAAAACAATTAAAAAATAAAAATAATATAAAATCTTAAAATTAAAAAATCAAAATTAACATTTAACTTTTCTTTTCTTTTTTTCTTTTTTTCTTTTTTTTTTTTTCCTACCATTGAGGGGCACCCCACGGTCCCCACCACCCATTCAAGAAAATCATCGTTTTGGG